TGCTCCTGGAATAGATGCCATCAATAATTTTTGGTGGAAAACTTTAACGAGCACACACAAACATCTATCTCGTATCTTTACATCTTTTTTGTGTGGTACAGAGCCCATTCCACCTTGGTTGACAGAAGGGCGCACCGTTCTTATTCCGAAGAAAGGAGATTTGTCTAATCCGGAAAACTACCGACCTATTACCTGTCTTAATACTGTATACAAGGCGTTCACCTCCATCTTGAACGAACGCATAGTGCACCATATTGACCCTATCTGGAAAGAGGTATATGAGCAGCGGGGTTCGAAACGTGGCATTGAAGGTTGCAAGGACAATCTGTTGATTGACAGATGCATCTGTCAAGATGCGGTCCATTATAAGCGCAACCTGTCAATGGCCTGGGTGGACTACAAGAAAGCTTTTGACACAACTTCTCATGAGCTGATTGAGCTGAATGCAGAAGTGAAGAAACGGGGACCAAATTCGGCATCAGAATTACACGTGGTCAGTGATAAAGATCAGCAGCTGACACACGCCTCGATAACTCCTAAGTTTATGATAAACTTTCCCAGAGAAACAGTCGAGTGGAGACTTGCGAAGTCACGTTACGATGACAAATCGCGCTGTCAGAATAACAACTATCTCGTAAACTCATGTGTCAGGTATCACATCAAATACCTTCACTTGGTGGATATCGCATCGACTCTTCCGGTCACGACTTCGAAAACAGTCTGACGCACTAATTTATCGCATCCTCAGATTCCGTGTGATATTTCTCTTCAGCGACAATTCAAAGCTTCCATCAACCTCGATGGAAGCGGCGCACGGCGTCACAGAGCTACGTGAGCTTCTCCTCCATTCCCCCTCTTTCTCCTCGTCTTCCTGGTGACCGCATTCCAAGAGGTTTCCTCTCCAACACTTTGTACGCATTTCTTTTGTTTCATCCAGGCTAACATTATCACCCGATCCTGTTTCATTGCGCTCCATTTTATTATTTTGTACTCTCACGTGTCTCTTCATCTTACCTGTGGGCCCCAATAATTAAAATTTTCAGTCTAAAATGTTTCCCCATGCCTTCTGCATGCACTTCCCATCGCATCGTCCTTCATCCAGTCGCCCCGCCATTCCTCGGCCGAGACTTCAGATGACGAACCTCCCGTTCTAACTTCGACAGCCTCTCGACAATTCTCGTCACTGTCCATCCAGAAAAAATGAAAAGTTTGCGGTTTCTCGATCACTTTAACTTTACGTGTGAAAACATTACGACAATCTTAGAAGCAGCCGAACAAAATTTGTGCAAGCGTTACCTCCTTTTCTGACACGATTAGGTGGATTCAAAATTTTGCAAATCAAAGACTAAATAGCCTGTTTGAAGCCTTCCTCTCTGGCTTTTAACGGGAGAGCGGAAACAAGGCTTGAGGGACAGACCGACGGATCGCATTCTCTGAGACAACAATAAAGGCCACGTCACTCATGCGGATTGTAAACTTTTGCTAGACAACCATATTACAATTCCTTAATCGAAGTTTATTTCTAATCAACGGAGACAAAAGTGATTCCGATCAAGGCAGTTTTGCGGAACGACGTCTGCACAATTACCAATTACACATTCGGTATTGTCGGTATAGTGACTGGCCACGGACTGGGCGACTGGGGTTCGATCCCCGACGTGGGCAGAGGATTTTTCCTCTAGCCTCTGCGTCCAGACCGGCTCTGGGGCCCACCCAGCCTCCTATACAATGGGTACAGGGGTCCTTTCCCGGGGGTAAAGCCGGCCGGGGC